GAAAAAAAAGCAAAGAAATGTGAAATATATTGTGGTAGGGAAGTGTTTGGGGGTGAAGAAAGGAACAAGGAACACAACTCAGTTTACTTTTTTGTGTTCTCTAGCATAAATTACTAGCACATAACGAACAAGAGAGAATCAAGAGAAAAGGCATTAGAGAAAATAAAACCAAGTAGAAAATAGAATAGAATAGAACAAATGGTAAAACTATGGAAGTACAGTAGTGTAATACGTAAAAAAAAAAAAAAGTCCTTTTTGTTAATAGAGAAAGGCTTTTCGAAGGGGGCTTTAAATGAAAACAGGCAAATTCTATTATATGGCATATACCTACTCTGTTATAAAAATTTTCTAAATAACAAGATTCTGCTTATAGTTTTTATTCAGTGAATATTTATTGAAAATTTACTGTGTGCTAAGCACTGGAGATGTAATGGAGCACAGGATAGACCAGATCCCTGTCTTCATGCAACTCAGACTAGTGGGGGTAGAACAAACAAAAATAAGGAACATATGCATGTATAGGATATATGCATTTTTATGATTGCTTATATCAGAAGCATAAGTACCATGAAGGGATAAAACAGGTGATATCATAGTAACTAAGAGGTCTATTTGAGATAAAGTGGGGCTGTCTGAGGGGGTAACATTCAAGAGTGAAGGATGAGAATGAGCCAACTATTTGAAGAACTAAGGGAAGACCATTCTGGGCAAAGAGAAAGGTAAGCACAAAAGCCTGAGAAGAGGAATTGGTTTATTTGAGGAACAGAAAGAAGGTTAGCATGGCCTGCAGGTCAGTGACTAAGGGGGAGAGTGGTACAAGGTGGGGTCAAGAAGGTGGAGCTAGATGACCTAGGGCCTCAGGCCATTGTAAGGATTTAAGCCTTCATTCTAAATAGCAGGATTTTAGCAGGTAAGAGATGGCATTTTTAAGAGGGAGCTTTGCCCTCTTATCTCTCTTAGCTCACGGGTAGGTGTACCATCATGTTACACCCTATCCCAAACGGGATTTTAGAGGAGATATAGAGGGAAGATGCCTTTGGTGACATACATTCCATCACTTGTGTTGGCAAGGAACTTGAAGTTAGTAGCATTAATAATGGCAGTGTTCTGCGACCCTTCTTTCTGCCTTCCCCTTGTATCCTCTATCACTTCCTCTTACCTTATCCTTAGAGATTGCCATGTGGCCTAATTTGAAAACCAAATCTAGGAATACATATCTGCTTTTGGTGAAACTTTACTGGTCATACATATTTAAGGATCCCAAAGAAAGGATAACAGCAAAGAATTAGGAAGCATTAGCTTTTTTTCCTTATACTCCCTTTAATAATGTAGATCAGTAATTTATATAAATCTGTTTATATTACATCTTTGTAAGTTCCCATCTTTCTACCTTAGACAACAAGATTTTATTTTCACAGAAATCTGATTTTGATTGATGGACATGATTAGTATCACTTTAAAATCTCCCTTCCATCATCTTAAATTTCTGATTATCCTATGAAGAGCTATACTTAAAAGATTCTTTTGTGATTTTTAAACTGATGACTTCCACTTTGTAAGAATTTGCAGATGCCAGTCTAAGAAAGTATAAAAGAGTAGAACATTGTTGCTTTATTGTTTTACTTCTCTGATATGTTTTAGACAAGGATCTTTAAGCACTTTGAACTCTCCCTTCCCCATATAACATTTTGCTTTTTCTGTTGATGAAATTTTTTTTTCTCTTCCAGCTGTGTAAAACTGTACAATGAAGTCTAATAAAGTTATTTTTTCAGCTAAAAAGGACCATTTCCTACCAATTTAGGTTCTTTTAAGAATTATATAAGTTTATTTAAATTTCTTCCTATTAATGGTAGAAACAAGTTCTGTGTGGTTTTTCTTATAATGATGTGAAAGAAGCTGAATGATAGATTTCCTGAATTACTGAGTTGGAGTATTTATTCAGAAACAATGTTTGTTTGAAGTATTCTGTTTTAAATCTTACTTTTTTTCTATTAATTATTTTTAACTAAACAGAAAAGGAAAATTAGTTTTCCAAGACGTTGATTCTACAAAAGACTTCTATTGGCTCTGCAGTGGAAGTTAAGAGGTTTTCCTATGAAGGGAAGTATACACCTACAATTAAAGATTTGCCATTCACCCCACTGAATATTTTGTTTTGTAGGCTACAGTGTGAACACATGATTAGAAGAAGAAAATTTCTTCTTGCCTCAGTTCTTGCTCTCCAGAATTCAAGTTTTATATATCCTTCATGTCAAAAGTGCTTCTCGCGGATAATCCTAGTCTCCAAAAGGTGAGAGTAAAGACTGTAAGCATGAGAGAGGAAGTGCAAGTCAATTGTAAGTCAATACAGGACACAGAAATTTCCCACTTTCATTTCCTCACTGCTACAGCACAGCAAGTATATAACAAAGAAATTCCATACTCTAGCCTTTGCAAAAAGGTTTTACAGACACCAAGGAGCAAAAAGACTGCTGCCTAAAGATTTTCTTCGAACTCCAAATCCTTAATGATAACACCATAATCGATGTTTTATGTTTTATGGGGTTAACTTTTTTCTTTTTTTTAACCTCCAAGATTTTGAGCAGTGGTGGTTTTCAAATTACATTCTGCAGAGCCTTAGGGCTCCATGCTTCTAGAGGAGATTGGGATTAGAGAAAGAAAAGGGGATCGTGCTGACAGTCAGGATGGGCTCTGGGGTTTCCACTTTAGTTTCAACAAGAGCTCCATTCTTATCCTTGTATTAGGGTTCCAAGATTTCATTTGAACAGGTTCCATGATATAGATAAAGATGTAGAAATACAAATATAAAAAATATACATACAGAAAGTTTGGTCCTTCATATGAGAAGATTGTCATATTTACATATGTGTATGTATACCTATATATGTACATGTATGTGTGAATAAAATAATTTTTTCACATGAAGGACCAAGTTAACTTTATATGTATATGATTTTGTGTGTGTGTGTGTGTGTGTGTGTACTCTTCCAAAAATTGTAAGCAAAGGAGGGGACTTATTTATCCAAATAAGCTATCTACCCAGCCTAAACAGATGTAAATTGCTCTTCTAGGTGACTTAATGGGCCCCATAGTCCCATTAGTCTAGAAATCTGTCTGTCACACTAAGAACTTTTTTCTCCTGTCTTAAAATGTGAATCATAGCTCAGAGACTATCTACCTATCCTCTCCCCTGCCCACCACTCCCAACCACCCAATAAGTCTGTGTCATTTACTTAAGTCAAATGAATTTTAAACACTTAGATTATAGTTTCCTCCTTTTGGAAGGAAGTGGTATATAAAGCCTTAAAGACACATTTTTCAAAAATATTTTTCATTACATTGTATACATTCAATTTAATCTGCAGCTATAAATTTGGAAGGGACATTGTATAATCATCTAGTTGAGGTATTCTTAACCTGGGGTCTGCAGGTAGGCTATAGGTGTCTCCAAAGTATATAAACTGTGTGTTCCAGTTATATGCACATTTTTCTGGGAGAGAGAGTAAGTCTGTTGCTTTCATCAGATTTTCAAGGGAACACTAAGAATCACTAATCTCATCAATTCTTCTAGGATATATATATAAATACAGTAACCTAGAAAAATAAACAAATGAAAATTCTATTTTAACTGGTATCAAACCAAAAAGATAGCATATTACCAATATTATTTCAGACAAATCCATTCAGAGACTTTTTGAAATCAAAACTATTTTCATAATAATTCCAAGGCATTATTTCCACTTTCACTCACATTCTCTTATGAGTGCATAGTGGAGTTGTGGAGAGACTGCATGACATGTAATATCACAGCAGACTAAGCAGAAAAAGAGATATCAGAATCCATCTGTCTTTATTAAACCAAACGTTAAAGGGATCTGCAGAATGTAAAACAATGCCACTCTCTTCTCACTAATTTTATTTTGGAACACATGCTTATTTTTTATAAAAATATGTTCTTTTTGTTAACCATGCAATGGGTCTATTATTTTTAATGAATTAATACTTTTTAGATTTCTCAATATTAATTTCTCACCTTTATTTTTATTTAATTTCTCATATTTAATTTAAAATATGGATATTACTCACATAACAAAAGCTCTTCGGTGTTCTCTATAGTTTGTAATACAGACAGTAAAGGTCCTGAAACCAAAAAAGTTTGAAAACTGCTATTTCATAACAAATGGCATTTTGGAAATAGGAGTGCTTCTAGAAGTTAAATCAGGGGACTGGGATCTGAATGTGTTGTCTCTACCCTTGCTTCCCAAAGTATGGTTGAGAAACAGCTACATCGGCATCACCTGGGAGCCTGTTAGAAATGCAGAATCTTGGGCCTTGACCCAGACTTACTGAATCAGAATCTTCATTTTAACAAGATCCCCAGATGATGTGTATGCATATTAAAGTTTAAGCTCTCATCTGTTTACACCATACTAATGTTTATTTCAATCCAGCCTTATTCCCAAAAGACTAGATGAAACTATATAAATAAATATTTTCTTTATACATATATGTTATATAAAAGTATATGTAATTTAGAGTGTATGCATTAATATTAGTAGATCTAGTTTTTGTTAGGCTGTCATTGATACCCTTTGTGCAGGATAGTTCATTGTTAACAGTATTGCTCTTATAGTTTTAAGATATCCAGGAAAAAACTTCTAGCTAAGAATAGAAAGCCTTAGATTTGGGTAACATTCACTAATTTTGTCTCCTTGGTCAAAAATTTACCCTAGTTGCCCCATTTGTAGATGGGGATAAATGACCTTGTTTATGAAAGAATATATGTTGCAAATATTTGTAAACTGTAAAATGCTGATGCATATTAATTATTCTAAGATTTGCTAAGAATTTTACATTCGACATGAATGAATTATGAGTATATAGCTTTTAAAGAATATATATTTAATAATCTAATATAAATTTAAAATAATTCATTTCACTAGAGCTTGGTACTAATGAGGTTTTAATCCCCTAGTAAGTCAGTTACCTTTGCTTTATTCTATGGCCAAACTATAGCACAAACTCTAGTAGATTTGGGTAAAATTATATGATTGGATTGACACAGATCCATCCTCACTGTAGCAAAAAAAATAATAATAATTAGCACAGATCTAATGATGATGAATCAGTAACTTCTTACATGAAGGATTGACCTTTGTTCAAAATAGTCACTTTGGGAGTCGTGGAGTTCAGGCTCCCCCTAGTGGCTATCTAGCAGCAATCAAATTTATACAACTATTTTTATTTAACATTTTCTATTTGCATTGTGCCACTCTTTTTTAAGATATATCACTAGTGACACAAAGGAAAAACAAAGTCCTAAGATTAATCATTCCCGTAAGATGTTTTAAGTGGTCAGTTGACTAAATTAAGAATTTGTAAGATGGATATCAGAGTTATAAGATACTGTGAACAGCTAAAAAGGGAAACAGACATGATAATAATCACAATATTTAATATAATTATGGGAGATAAGCAGACTAACCCTATTAATTTGGCAAGATCTACAATAATCTTTTCTTTACTATATATTTTTTTTACTTTGTCTCCTTTTATCCTTCTTCAACCCTGGATTTTACAGATGAGAAAATAAAGGGATTTATTAACTATAAATAAGGGATTTAGTAACTATCCCAAGACCAGACAGTTAGTGCATGACAGTAGAGTTAAACTTGGTATACAGTTTTTTACAAGAAAGCCATTGGCCATGATTATGTGTTGCCTTAAAAACAAGTTAAATAAGATATTTTGTACCTAATTTTTTGTAATCTGATAGATTCTCAGCATATTTCTATGAATTAAAGAAAGTAAAGCTATTATAATGGTGAGGAAAATGTAACTGGGTACTCTGTGTAAATATTTATTAAATGTTTCAAGATTATTATTTTCTTAACAAAAGATAGACATTAATTTTCATATCTTCTATTGTTGTGATACTCACTTCATTGTATTAGTTTGCACCCTGCCCCCCCCCAGGCTATAATATGCTTTGATTTGTTAACGAAGATTTAACTACCCGATAAGAACATCTCTCTCTCCCAACCCCCCACCACAGTTTTCTTTCACTTTTCTGTCAATTTAGTGCTACTTAATTTAAATTAGTGAAGGCAGCTGTTATGCACAAATTCAAAAGAGGTTCATCTGAAATAGTTTAAGAAGAATGTAAGTTGTATAGAAACATTTGTAGGCAAAATATTTTTAATTTTTAATTTTTCAGATTTGTTTTTCATCATACGAAAATAAAAATTAGTGAACATTTCTATACTTCTCCCCATCACTTTTCCAGGTTTAATTGTCCAAAATGTGGCTCTACTGGTGAAGCTGAAAATGCCAGTTACAGATATAAACTTTCCATAAAAGTTGCAGAATCAAACAAATTATTTGGCATTACTGTATTTGGAAGCTGCTTAGATGCATTTTTTGGTCTTACAGCCACTGATTTGCATAGGTAAGAAGATTTAAAGCATTCTTTTCCCTAGCTTCTCTTTTAGCATATTAACAGAATTTGAAGATATGTGTTTTTAAGGTAGTGTGCATTTAGTAAAAAGATAATCACTCAACCTCAGATCATTTTCTTTAAAAGATAAACAAGAAAAAGAAAGATGTTTATTTCCTGAATATATATTGTGATGATGTTAAACCAGGCTCCTTTTATTCAGGACAACCAAACTGCAATTAGAATATTAAATTACAAAACTCTAATCCGAGTTAGAGAAATATAGTATAAGTAAAATGGTTTCAAACTGAAGGATTATCCTAATTGAGGTTAACGCTCAAGCGGTTAAGGTCCCTTGAGGCAGAAGAAACCATTTGTGGGTATATTTACATATCAGAAGTTGAAATTTAGTCATTTCTCTCACTTGTACTACAACTTCACCTGTATATTTTGACCTATTATGATGTCCTGAGAATGCTAGGGTATATATATATATAAGCAATTGAAACATTTTTGTCAACCTGTCTTCTATCCTCTTCCCCTAATCACTTGACAGAAGAAATCTCTATCTCCTTAGAGTTGAGAGCAAACTTATTTGAAGAAAGAGGCAACAAGGGACCATAGCTAGGATTGCCAGGGAAGACGAAAGTCTTCCCTCTGCTTTGAGAAGAAGGGCAAGAGATCCCACCACTATTCTCACTGCCACTTTTAGAATAATTGCTGGGTCTGATTACTAGGCAGGCATCTACTTTTTCGCACTTCCTTGATCAGTTGTTTTTGTCTTTCTAGCCTGAGGAAAACCAGAGGGAACAAAATGCCTAGCTCTTAAAGTCACTTTTTATATATATATATATATATAACTCAAAAAGTTTCATGCTGCATTTTCAGACTGATCATTTGTATCTTCTGACTCTATGGCAAGTTAAAATTTTAAAGCTTATCTCTTCACATTGTGTTATTTCTTTCTAATCAAGATACGTTCAAGATCCTAATGAAATCCCAGAAACACTGGACAGTGATGCTACTCAGAACCTGTTAGCTAAAGCAGTTGAAACTTGCTTTGTTGGACAGAGCTTCATTTTTGGAGTGACGGTAATTGAGACTAGCTTTCTTTTTCATATTCTGTTAACATTTCCATTATAATGAAATGACTTGAATTCTCTAAATAGTTTAGGATTCATAAATGTGAGAACCTGTAGAAGCACTTTAAAAATAGGCTATAGCCAATTTGTTAAAACACTGTGACAACTTCTGCTTTCAAAAGTCAGAAAAGCCTAGTTCAGATGCTTTCGGGGTTTTAAAATTTTAAATTTATTATAAATTCAGATGTGTTAGATATTTGTTTTGATGTTTGGTGTTTATTTTACCTTCCAAACTTTGTTCAATTCTGTAGTAAAACTTTCTTCAACTTTTTCGCTTTTTAATTCTATCATCTGTAAAAAGAGAAGGAGGAAACTTTGAAGGCAAAGTATCTGCATATTGATAACTCTAAGACTAGGTTTGGAAGGATGGTCTTAAATAGTTATAAAAGTGACTAGAGAAGTTAAAAAGAATGTATTGACTATGAAGGAGTAATCATTCTCTGTCTCATCTATGCTTAAGAGAACAAATGGAAATTTTGTCCACATTGGAATCAGAGTTTTAAAAACAGTAATAGAGCTGAACAGTAATAGAACTCTACAACTGAACAGTGAGAAAAACTCAAAGCGAAGGAGAAGCTAGGAGCTACAGAGCTTTTCTTTGTTAAAATCTTAGGCAATTCTTTATCGTTTTTTTTTAAACAGGTAAGAACATTCCCTTAGACACTCAAAGTTTGTGGAAGCTAATGAGAAATATAATAGCAGCTAACATTTCTTGAGCAACTCCTGTTTGCTAAGCACCACAGTTTTCCATGTGTTATTGCAAATACAATAATCCTGCATTTTTATCTTTATTTTATCGATGAGAAAAGCAAGGCTCAGAGAGGTTAAATTAATTGTCCAAAGCCATAACACTGGTAAATATTAGAATCAGGATTTGAAGACAAGTCTCTTTATTCCAAGGTTTACTGCTCTTACTTATACTACTTTGCGTATAACACTAGAAGAATTCAAATTATGGGGGTGGGGCTATAATTGTATCTGTTTTAACCTTTTAAACTTATTTCACATTCGAGTCAAAGGAAGAACATTTTATTCTCATTTAAATTTATTTACTTCTTTTGCAGAATTTTGAAAACAAACATGGGCAAGGTTCAGATTCTAGTAACTTCTTACAGCAGTGCCCTGACCACAAGAAAGAAGTTAAAGCACTAGTAGCCTCCCAGATTATTCTACCAGACCCACGTGTTGCAGGCTCCACTGTCATTGACTATTTCCATCAGCTCTTGCGGCTCTCTGACTTTAGGAAACTTCACGGTGGCTCCCAGACACCTAATAGTCACTTACTTGCTTTAGAACACTCCAGCAGTGATCTCAGCAACATATGTGATCCTGACAGCAGTTCTTGTTTTTTTGAGGCTCACAGCAGAGAGAATTTTTTAAGGTTCTGGCAGCCATCACTTGAACTCACTTCCATTGTTTCACAACTAGCAGATGATGATAATTTTTCAGCTTCAGAACAAAGCAAGGCCAGTGATACTCTTCACCAGAACAGAAAGTGTATCTCCTTTGCAGAGGCCACTGGTTCCAATAGCTGCCATGATGCCATTCAGGGTCCATGGAGTCTTGTTTCATATATGGATAAAAAGAGTACATCACAAAAGTCAGGTGAAGAACTTGGCTTACAAGCTAATCAGCCAAGTGCAGTTCACAGCAGTCATGAAATTGGAGTTACTGGCTCTAATTTATTCCTTTTGAAAATGCAAGAGCCCCTTGAGCCAAGAAATACAAAATCCTTCCACAGTGCAGTGGAAATTAAAAACAGGTATTCCCAGTGTGAGCTAACCCATCACCAGTGTCATGATGTAGCTACCCTCCTGAGCCTTCAGGAGAGATCTACATGTCCACCGTCATCACTCAGACTTGAAGAGATAGATGGTGGTTCCCAGGATTGTGACCCTGAGATTTGGGATGAACTGCCATTCTCTGAAAGCTTAAACAAGTTTCTGGAAGTTATTGAAAGTGAAGTTGCTATAACCCAGACAGATGCCAGTAGTAGAAAACATCATCTAGATAGTGACATTGATAAATTACAAGCATACCACAGCAAGTTATGTGTGACTCCCCAGAAAACTACTGGAGCTTTGCCTACACCACCTATATCTTTAAGATCATCACAAGCAACAGTCAAAGCAAACTCTGAGAAAGATAACTTCCTTTCCAACTGTAAAGCGAATCTGACTCCTAGTGTTCAAAATGAGTCACAATCAGGTAATACAGCAGAGGCTGTCTCTATAAGTAGGAATGGAAGAGATATTTCTGAATATTTTCTGCCAAACACTTATTTGTCAGCTTTGTTTCCATCTTCAAGAGGTCTAGGAAAACCAGCTACTCTTAGGAAGTCTACCAGAATTCCACCACATACGGCTGAAATTTCACTTAAGTGCAGTACTTCAGAGAGTGACCATTCTTGTCTCAATATCAAGTATTTTAATGGATGTGGAGAAAAATCACTTTCAGAAATGAGTAAAAAACTGACAGCTTTTTGTACTAGGAGGTATAATGATTTTTCTGACCTTTGCAACTTAGAAAATAAACAACATAGTAAGTGGCCTAAGAACCAAGATGACAGTTTTACAATTTGCAGGAAACTTACATATCCTTTAGAAGCAGTTTGCAGCAGTAGTCCAAATAGAAGTAAAAATACATTGAAAGAAATTCCTTATGGACATATTAATAATACTTTAACACAGAACTATTCAGCTGGTCCTGAAGGTAGCTATGATGCTTCTGCTGATCTCTTTGATGATGGTGCTAAAGAAATAGACATCGCGAAAGAAATTACCAAAGAATCACAGGATATTGTGTTACAGTGGGGAGAGTCTTTGGCAAAAAATCATCATGCAGATTCTGATTTTTCACTGAGATCACTTTCTGAAAACTCCAGCCAGTCTTCACAAAAATTATCTTTGCAAAACATATCTGTCTCTGTGTATCCAAAAACATGCTCTTCTCCACCTCATTTTCAGTCAGATTCAGAAAATGATTTTGAAGATAGCCAAGACTTTGTTCCATGTTCACAGTCAACTCCAGTTGCAGGATTCCACCAAACAAGAATTCATAGGATAAAAGGGGCTTTCCAGAAAATACCTGCCTTTTTAGATCTTGATGGTAACTATAAAAAAACAAGCTTTTCCTTTAAAAATGAGGCACAGCAAGCCAACCCCAGCTGTCCAAAAAATATAAATGTAAAAACACCCAGCCAGAAATCCAGAAGCCCTGTTATATCTGGTATTACACAACCAGAAGTTTTCAATAACTGTCCTATTGCCGAGTGCCTTGCATCTGACATTGATGAATGGGTCCCTCCTACCACAAAAAAAGTATTTCTTTCAGGTGTGCTTGGATTCCAAGCCATGGGTCTAAGGAAATGCCCTGCTGCCCGTAATTCTCCTGATCAAAAAGAACTACCGAGAAAGAAACTAAAATATGTCAAACAAGGAACTGATAAATGTTTAATTAAGAAGTCAAATTTAAAGAATATGCTTACAGCAGTAGTTACAAAACAGAAAACACCTAACTGTAACAGTACAAGTTCAGGCTGGATTTCCAAAGAGCCAGTTTTGGGACTTGGTCCTTGTTCAGAAGTCAAATGTTGCCTTACGTTTTCAGAAAATTGGCCACCTTCAGTGCCTGAAATGGAAAGTGTGTGGTCTCCTGAATTATTTTCACAAAAAGTCACCTGAACCCCATTGCTGAACTTTTAAAGGTAAGTCTGTTCGGAAACTTTTGCCTCCACTGGCATGAAAAGCATTCTTACCGTTTTGAACACTTAAAGAGACAAGTAGAAAAGAGGTGCTATTGTGCTCTTTTAAATGTTTGTAAAGCCATTGTTTTTCTTTCTGAGTGTTTTATCCAGAATACTCTGATTCAGATAATTTGACACTTTATGTTGTTGATTGTACTTTAGTAATAATTGTTAATTTTGCTTGTTAAAAGTATTTGTTAAAAACACACGTACATTCAGTAATAAAGTTTTTGCAGACCACAACTTAAAGTCTTTCTTAATTGTTAATCTTAGCTCAGAAAATGCCCACTGTATCAAAAGATTTTAGTCTACTGGGTAAGACAGACATATCACAGACAATTTGACTACAATGCAGCAAATTCAATGAAAGAGGTTTTTAATGAGAGTTATAAACGTTTATGTTCTTATGGGATCATGATAGAGAAGCAGTTAACCCAGCAGCATCTGGGGATAAGAAGAAAGGTCAATAAAAACTTACTGTTTAGACAATGGGATAAAGAAATTATAGTTCATAGATACAGTGGAATATTACTCAGCCATTAAAAAAACGAAATCGTACCATTTGCAATGACATGGATGGACCTAGAGGTTATTATGCTGAGTGAAATAAGTCAGACAGAGAAAGATAAATACCATGTGATTTCACTTATACGTGGTATCTAAGGAAAAGAACAAACTAATCACAAACAGACTCACAAATGTAGTGGACAATTTGGTGATGGACAGTGGGGAAGGGAGGTTTTGAGACTGAGAGAATAGGGTGAAGAGTTAAAGAAGTACAAATTAGTAGTTGATAGTTGGGCACGGGGATAGGGAGCATGGCAGAGGGAATGCAATTAGCATTAATATGATGGCTAAGTGGAGGGCCAAGGGAGGGAGGGAGCAATTGGAGGGATCGTTTTATGAACATTATAGATGTCTAACCAATGTACTGTATACTTGAAACTAATTTAAATAAATTTATTTTTAAAACTTTACTGTTTAGAGTTAAATGTGAAACTCACTATTTTATTTAGTAAGTATTCATTATGTACTTACTACATGCCAGGCACTGTGCTAGTTTCTGGGGATTCAAAGATGAAAGCCAAGCCCCCTCACAAGAAATTCATGGTCTAATAAATAATTATCTGGTAAGTTCTATGATAGCAGATAAGCTTGAGGTGCTAATAGGAGCAAAAATGAAGAGTACTTTCCAGACACTCAGATCCTTAGCAGCACCTCAGCTGCACCCTGCAAAATCTTTTACATATCTCTGGTCAGCTCCTTTAGCCATTCCTCACAGCAACTATTCCAAATCTTCATTCTCTACATGCTACCAACCCACTGATATTGGAGAACTACTGTTATTTTTCTTTGGTTGGATAATGATATTGTAGTTATGTAGAAGAAAGTATTTTAAGGAAATTTCTGTTGTATTTAGAGATGAAATGTCCTTTCTGCAGCTTACATTCATATGGCTCAGCAAAACATGATAGATTATAGATTAGATAGAAAGATGATTAGATAGATGATAGAGATAAATATTGAAAGCAAATATATATGCAAAAGATAAAATGTTACAAATGATTGACTAAGTGGTTGGTATAGGTGCCTTACACTTATTCTTTTTAATATTCCATGTGATACTCCTTGCTATTTCCCTGCTAGCTACTCTCGTTCATTGCCAGGCTCCTTTAAAAAATAGTCACTGACAACTTTAATGCCATTCACTGTTCAACCTGCTGCAATCTATTCTCTCTCCCCCACCTTTGGCGGCTATAGTGTCTGTGGTTTTCTGACCCTCAAATCCAATGGATCGTCATTCCTGATTTTATCTCTGCACTTCCTCTATGTTCAAGATACCATTCTCATGGTTTCTAGTTTCTTAGTTTCAGCTCTGCTTTGATCAGGGTCGCCTGCAAGGCAAATATTTTTTTGCAGAGCCTTCATCTATAGAAACAATTTGATTTAAAATTTATTATAAAAAAATGTATTATAAAATTCATGGGCCCATGTAAGGTAAAGTGATTTGTCAATGAAGATTCAGAATAATGGATAGGAAAAATGCATGTTTATTGTCCAATCAGTGCATGTAAAGATTTTTTATAGTATACAGGCACCATCTCTTCCTCAAACCTAGGAAATAGTCTCTTCATGTTCTATATTGTCAAATGTGCAGTTTCCGGCTAATTTCATATAAGAGTAGTAATGCTGTTATTACTCATAATTCCATGACTCTTAAAAACCTGTTTGTATTGAACTATATATAGATCTTACCTCTAGAGTTCCCTAATACCATTTATTTAATGCTGGTTACTACTCATGATGCTGCACCCATTGTGCCACTGAATACTGGCTTCCAGGTTGTTACTGTGTGTCACTGATTACCAAAAATGCAAGTCTTACCCAGAATACGCAGGAAAATGTGCATAATAATTCATTTTCTGGTCATGTTATTATATTTACCATTTGAGCTTTTGTAGCATAAACATAAAAGACGTATTCCAACCATGTCTTCTGAATGTTTTAGGCTGTTATTACTGCAATTCTGGCCACACACAGGAAGAACAGGCAAGTGGCCCATGGGTGGAGCACAAATTACAGTTCCTTCTTCAGCATGTCTTAAGCTGTATCTTGGAGAGAACAAAGTCACTATTAGTTGAAAACAAGAGGACATTGATTAAAATGGCCAGTTGGCTTTGTGGACCAGCAGTTTCCTAAGACCTCAAATGAGATAGGCCTGGCCCAACACAAAGTACAGAATCTGCAGAGAGGGTTAGGGTGACCTTCCTAGTGCCAATGGCAAGAGGTAAACAACCCTGCTACCACCCTCACAAACCTGGGGTGTCTACAGACCAGGGGCATCACTGTAGATGGGACAAAGACCAGTGAGAGCCAATGCACAGCATCCCCCCTACCCCACACAACATAATTTCAAGAGTCCATGGCGACCTTTGGTAGCCCAGAACCTTGAATTTATCCTGTGTCCAATATGAGACACCTAAAAGCAAGTCAGCACCATCCGGTAGCCTAATCTCTAATCTCACTACTGTGTGAAAGAAAGATTGCTTCAGCTAGTGAGAATAGTCCACTCTTCAGACCCAGGGCAATTCTATAGGCACAAGACTCAAAGTTCATCAGGGCATTCAGTACACACCAAGGGTCAAAGGAAAGAAATAGCACCTTCCAGGGACCAAAGTGAGACTTGGAAAATTTCAAGAGACATAACTTCTGGCAACCAGGTCCCACATGGGACCGAATCCAGGCTCAGGATGCCTTGCTTAGTCCTAAGAACTGGAGGGAGATTTAGAAAATCTTGAGGAAGTCTCACTAAACATGAGTCTCCCTGAATTATGGGACATGAGGCAGGGTCTCTGCTTGCTTCAGTTTCAGAGGTGCTGTCTGATCTCCCTCCTTATTGTCCTTGATTGCCTCCTTATTTGCCTGCCTTTTAAAAGATGATGCCTCTGAGTGTTCTATTTATCAGCCTTCTACATATACTCTTTGGTTTAATTCATTCACTCATCTATAGCTACCACCCATAAACTGTTTAATTTGAAGTCTATCTTCTATCTAGAGTTTTTCCTGAAACCAAACTTCTATTTTAGTCTTTCTGTTGTTCAGTTCAAAATGTTTTATAATTTCCATGTGGCTTCTTATGAGTTTTTTACAAATGTTTTTTAATTTTCAATGATAAAAGACTTTTTCTAGTCATCTCTTTGTGAATGATTTCTACCTAAATTACACTGTGGTTATAAAACTTATTCTATATTAATTCAATTCTTTGAAATTTGTTGAGACTTAGTGGCCTAATCTATATAGTTAGTTTCTGTAAATGTTCCACATGTGCTTGAAAATGTGTGTTCTGCAGTTATTGGGCATAGAATTTTGTGTATATTAGATAATGTTTACCACGTTGCTCAAATTATATCTGTACTGATTTTTCCTGTTCTATTAATTACTGAAATAGAATTTAAAATCTCCCCCCTGTGATTGTGAATGTATGTATTTCTCCTTTTATTTCCCTCAATTTTTATTTTATTTCGAGGCTATATTAGGTACAAATTCAATCCTCTTGTATCTTCCTAATAGATTGAAAAGACCATTGTGAAAGTCCTGTTTCATCACTATTAATGCTTTTTGTCTTTTAATTGTTATTGCTGTGCTACATTACCTTTGTTTTGGTTAGTATTTGCAAGAAGTTTTTGTTTTTGTATTTGTTTTTCAGTCTTCTTGTATCTTTGTCTTAGATGTGCTTCTCGTAAGCCTCATATAGTTGGGTTTTGTTGTCCAGTTTGACAGTTTTTGTGCTCTAACTGAAAAATTTAGTCCATCAACAATTAATATAATAACAAAAGCATATTTGGATTTATCATATTTCATACTTCCTATTTATCCTACCTATTCAATATTTCTTTTCTCCTTTTTTTCTCTTGATTTTTTTTTATTCCTGTTTTTCTTTCTCCTAAGTTTGGAAGTTAAGAGCTGTTTCTCTTTGCTTTTACCCTAGGAATTACAACATGCACACTCAGTTTATCCAAGTATGCACAGTCCCTGACTTTTGATGTTTTGACTTACGAGTTTTTGACTTTACAATTGTATGAAAGCAGTACACCTACAGTAGAAACCGTACTTCAAATTTTGAATTTTGATCTTTTCCTAGGCTAGTGATATACAGTAAGATTCTCTTTCATGAAGCTGAGCAGCAGCAGCAAGCTACAGCTTCCAGTCAGCGACACAATCACAAGGAATAAATAGCCAACACTCCATAGTGCACTATGTTGCCAGCATTTCCTGGATACTGTATTCAATAAGTTACATGCTAATATAAGTGTTCGGAGCATGTTTAAGGTAGGCAAGGCTAAACTATGATGTTTGATAGATTAGGTGTGTTAAATGTGTTTTCAGCTTATGAGATTTTCAATTTACCATGGGTTTATTGGAATGTAATCCCATGTTAAGTTCAGAAGCACCTGCAATTACAAAATCAACCAACCAAAGCATTATAAAAATAGGTATTATCCAAGATCACTAAAACAGACCCAAAAATCAGCAGTGGCTGGAGAAGCATTTTTCCACTCTTTGAAGATCTAAACTTAAGGTACGTGTGTTTGGTAAAATAGTCATAATTCAGCAGGTCTTAGCCAGATTACTTGTCTCTGGTCTTACAGTTTGGCTAGTACCAGATTAAGGGGTTGATTGAAAGCATTTGAATAAATATTAATTAGAATAAGCTGAATGGACACGATTAAGTTACCTGGAGG